TCTGTCGCCCCGATCATCATGCTTATGTAAACTTGGATCGACTTAAGGGTCAGACAGTTGTGTCATTTAGACTTTCTTTGTTTGTAATTTGTCTTGATCGGTTCCTATTACCACGGGGACGTGCACAAAGGAATGTGAGTAGGCCCGGAACTGTATCTCGACGTGGTATTTCAGTGCAACAATAGATTGGGTAGATAGGCAAACTCAACCTTCACCTTTGGATCAGCGGGTCTGTTTGATTTGTACTAGAAAGGTGTAACGAATCGATATTTGTACTCATAGCTGTCGAACACCTCTCTCCTATCTAGAGGCTTTTATTTCCTTTTTCAAGGGCATGGTTTTGACAATGAGTGCATTTGCACTGTTGGTGTGAAGAGTTATTTCGCAATTTTTTATTTGTCCTGATTTGTTACTTTTCAGGGGGTTTTGTTTGTTAGGTCGATCTTAGTCTAATCTTCTAAGTCTCCTAAAACCTCAGACTTTAAGCTTGTAATGCTGAAAGTAGCTTCCAGCCGTTACTGAAATGTCGGGTTTGAAATTGGGTTGTATAGGTCTCATTTAGTGTCGATCTAAAAAAAAAAGGATTGACTTGCGACCCTTCGTTTCTCAAACATTGGGTGATATTATGATAAAGAGTAGAACATTAATCAAGACACGGTTGGTGATATTAGTTCAAAGTCAAGGTCAAAGCAAGTCTAAAAGTCAAAATGTTTTTTGCCAATGTCTCTGCCTTCAACTTCAACTCTAGAACTGATGTGAGCCAAATCTAAAAACACCAGTTTTCCTCATTAATTTTTATTATACGTTTAAGATTGAAGACATTAGCTGAAAACGCAATGCAAATGTTATTTTCATGTGTCATAAGTATTTTTATTTTGATGGGATCTGTAAACGAAATAGATTTTTTTCCTTTAAAGTCTTTACAAATAATATTCAAAGTCAACAGGTAGGTTTGAAAAATCTCTTCACTCAACGTGTATGTCGGAGGAGGTTTCCAGCTTACCTTTTACTATATTTTTTTTCTCCAGATCTAAAGTTTTGATAAGACCATACCTTTTCCCATATATAATCTCTGATAATATGTTGGGAGAGTTTCAATTATTTACGACAAGACTTACTTCAAATTAAATTTTGAGCTTCACATCGCCCCCATCCCTTTCCCCCTTGTATTGGCACATTGATTAATCTTTCTGAACATTCCTGAAAAAAATTTCACTTTCGTTCTTTCAAAAATGTATTAATTTATTTATTTGACTGCTGAAACTGTTTGTTTTTTTGTGAGCTCACTTTTTCCCTTAAAGGTTGACAACAAATTCGCCCTCATTTCAATTTGCATGTGGATATGCCAGTCTGAAATCTCACAGCAATTTCCCTTTTTTCTTACATACATTATAGTCGATTCATACAATTGAATGAGTAAGCCTAGTTTCGCGTTTTGCAATTTTGGCATCGAAATGCAAGAGAACATTTAATTTTTGTGTAAAGAAGAAAGAACCACAGGCTTCGTGCCCACATTCTGACCTTCGCCAACAGATCAGTGTACAGAAACCTAAGACATGTGAGGCAATATGGCACGATGGTATAACTATACAGAAGCACTGTGGTCCACTTTGTTACTAAATTGGTTGTCCTTTGTTGCTCCCTGCTCTGCAAACTTGTTTCGTTTCTTTACTGGAATTACCTGACACGCACTATTATAGGACGATTCCTGGATCTTTATTAGATCTTGTGGCTTTTTGGCCTTGACTTTTCAACGTTGTATATGTACTATAGATAAGGAGATAAGTCTATGAGGCAGACCAATGCTTCGAAGCGGATCATTAGGTTCGTTTAGTTGAACTGAAAAAAAGTCGAAGTAATGCTGAGCAATCAGAGTCAAACGATGTGGAAATGGGCCATTAAGTTCGTCTGCAGATCACCAGAGAAACCTGTTTATACATTTTAAAATGGACCTTTCATACAGTTTCATAACACAAAGATTACATGTCAGTTATATGGGGGCTTTTAAAAAAAAATCGCTAATAAAATAAATAGCATGAAATCTGTATGTTTTCTTTCAGAATGAAGGATATGAATCATATTCACTTTTTTCTTTCTGCTGCTGTAATGTAAATATTGATTCTATGGCTTACGTATTTCTTGAAGTGGATCTTTCAGATGATGTGTCTCATAGATGTGTTACTTTACTCTAGTAGTAGTAGTATGGGGAAGGGTACCTTGGGTTTTACACGCTTTTCAACACACTAAGGTTACTTTATGGGCGCTATCATCGATCTTTAACATCTATCTGTGATAGTTACGTACCGAGTTGAATAAGTAGTGTGGAGCCAGGAAAACCCCACAAACATCCTAATTTTATTAAGGTTCCATTGAAGACTCAATACTAGGTCAACCACCTCGCAGTCCAGCATTAGTGCTACTGAAGAAAGGGGGCCCCATGAATACTTAAAATAATAATAATAATAAATAGCATTTGTATAGCGCATGTCCCCCCATGAAAGCAAGCTCTATACGCTTTACACTATATTACTACCCTAGCAGACCATAGAACACTGAGAAACATTCTCAGCTTCCCAGGAAGCATACAGTGCAAGCAGCTGGTTATGAGCTCAAACACTAACAAACTGACAAGGTCTTTCACTGTCTATAGTTGGGTACCCATTTTCACCTGGGTGAAGTGGGGAAAATTCGTGTAAAGTGCCTTTCCCAAGGACACAACGTCGGGCCCGCGATCGAACCCCCCGAACCCGCAACCTCACGAATACGAGTCCGGCGGCCTAACCATTAGGCCACCGACGCCACTATGATGTTTGTTTGTACCGT